GTTTCCAGGTTAAACCTCTCCTTGTTCAGTTTCCATCCTTTATTCCTTGTCTGGCCTTCGGGTGCCTTGGAAAATAGCTTGACCCCCTTCCTCCTCTCTGTGGCAGACCCTCAAAGATTGGAAGATGCTCTCCTGTCTCCCCTGGTCCTTCTCTTCACTAGACTAGCCAGGCCCAGTTCCTGCAACCGTCCATTGTATGTTTGAGCCTCCAGTCCCCTCATCCTCCTGGTTGCTCTTCTCTGCACTTTTTCTAGAGCCTCAACATCTTTTCTATAGTGTCGTGACCAAAACTGGATGCACTACTTTAGGTGTGGCCTTACTAAGGCTTTGTAGAGTGGGATTAGTCCCTCCCTTGATCTTGATTGTTTCCCTCTGTTAATGCAGCTTAGGATTGCATTGGCTTTTTTGGCTGCTGCTGCTGCACATGGCTGGCTCCTATTTAGCTGGTTGTCCACTAAGACTCCGAGATCCCCCTCCCAGTTCCTGCTATTGAGCCTGGTTTCATCCAGTCTATATGTGTACTTTTGGTTTTCCTTGCCTAAGTGTAGGACTTTACTTTTCTCTATATTGAATTTCATTTTATTAGATATGGCCCAGGGTTCTAGTCTGTCAAGATCCCTCTGGATCTTGAGCTTATCTTCTTGGGTGTTGGCTATTCCCGCCAGCTTAATATCATCTGCAAATTTGGTAAGTTCCCCTTCTATTCCCTCATCTAAGTCGTTAATGAAGATATTGAAGAGTACTGGGCATAAAACGGAACCTTGTGGCACCCCACTGCTTACTTCCCTCCATGTAGACTTAGACCCATTAAGGACTACTCGTTGAGTACGGTTTGCCAGCCAGTTACGAGTCCATCTAGTGGTGGAGCTATCTATTCCACTTTTTTCTAGCTTACTAAGAAGCAGGTTGTGGTCTACTTTTCGAATGCCTTGCTGAAATCTAAATATATTATGTCCACAGTATTTTGCTGGTTCACTAATTTAGTCACTGTGTTGAAGAATGAAATAAGATTGGTTTGGCATGAGTTGAAGTCCACAGGTCTTAAAGTTGCCACGTTTTGGGGACCCCTGGTTTAAGTAGAAAGAGGTTCCAGCTGAAAATATACCATGAATAGCATAGACATGCATGGTAGCTCTCCTTTCCTTCCTTCCTTCCTTCCTTCCTTCTTTCCTTCCTTCCTTCCTTCCTTCCTTCCTTCCTTCCTGCCTGCCTGCCTGCCTGCCTGCCTGCCTGCCTGCCTGCCTGCCTGCCTGCCTGCCTTCCTGCCTTCCTGCCTTCCTCTTAAAAGGAAGAAGAAAAAGAGGGAGGGATGCGAGTAAGAAAGAGGGAAGGGAAAGGAAAGCAAATCCAGTTTTAAAGCTTCTTTTAACTGTACAGTCAAATCACTTGAAAGGTTAACATCCCCTTTTTTCTGGGCTTTGGTGACCATTGGGGCAGCCAGTTGCCTTGTAGGAACAATAGGACGGATCATTTCTGGGCAGACACTGTTATATTGGGGCAACCTAGATAAAGCATCTGCCGTAAAATTCTTCCCCCCCGGGAGATACTTCAATGAAAAATTAAACTGCTTAAAGTACTGCACCCAGCGGACTTGCTTAGGAGACAGTTTTCAGCCTCTTAAGTTTTTATGATCCGTCCACACCTCAAAGGGGTGTTTTGCCCCTTCGAGAAAATGCCTGCAAGTTAATAATGCCCATCGGACAGCTAACACTTCTTTTTCCCAAATAGCCCATCTTCTTTCCGTCTCAGTTAGTTTATGGGAGGTGTGAGCACAAGGTTGCAAAGTTCCAGTCTCATTTGCTTGAAGTTGCACCGCCCCCCGCCCCCCCACCGCCACGTCACTCGTATTGGCCTGGATCACAAAAGGGGCGTCCACCTCTGCATGCTTTAGCACTGGTTCAGGTGCAAAGAGTCATTTTAGCTTTTCAAAAGCATCCTGGCATTCCGTGGACCATTGCAAGGGTTGACTGGGCTTTGGATTCAATTCTTCCATAGTCTTTAAAAGGTTTGTAATAGGTAATGCAAACTTTGCAAACGCTGGGATAAATTGGCAGTAAAAATTAGCAAATTCCAGGAAACTCTGCAATTGTTTTCTGGTGCGAGGGGAGGCCATTCCAAAATGGCCCAGACTTTTTCCAGGTCCATCTCTACTGTGATATGCAGTAACCCAAATAGTCAATTTTCTCTTGGTGAAATTCACACTTGGACAATTTTGCGTACAGTTCAGCCGCTTGAAGTTTTTTCAAAACTGACCGCACTAATTTCACATGCTCCTCAAAAGTCTCTGTACAGATAAGGATGTCGCCAAGGTAAAACAACACCCCCTTGTATACATGTTTATGCAGCACCTCATTTATCAGCTGCATGAACGGGCCTCTTGCAGGTCAAACGGGAGAACATTAAATTGAAAACACCCCAAAGGGCAATTGAATGCAGTTTTTCATTCATTTCCCTCCTTAATTCAAATTCAGTAGTACGCTTCTCTCAAATCAAGTGTAGTGAAAATTTTTCGCTTGGCAAGGTGAGCCAACGTGTCTTAATTAAGCGAAGTGGGTTCACGTTTTTCTACGCAAATTCCGTTAAGGTTACGGTAGTCAACACATAAGCGAAGAGCCATCTTTCTTTTCTCGGAACAACACTGGGGCCACCACTCGAGACCTAGCAGGTTAGATGAAACCTCGCTCAAGGTTCTTATCGATAAATCACAATTCCTCCAACTCTCACGGTGCCATTGAATACAGTTTAGGCTTACGGAGCTTCATGAATTCTATTCTGTTCTATTCGATTCCATTTTATATTCAGTTCTATTTTCTATTCTATTCTATTCTATTTTCCATTCTATTCACTTTCTCCATTCTCTTCTTATTCTTATTATAGGCATTTAAGTCTGGAGATGCCTCAACGTATAGTGTGGCTAGAGCAAATTTGAAGCGTGGTATTAAACAAGCCAAGGCTGCATACAAGGGAAAGATAGAAGACTGGTTATCTAATAATAACCTGAGACAAGCTTGGCAGGGGATTCAGCAGCTAACTAATTTTAAAGCACAAAAGGCTAGTATGGGTGGAGAACATGAGTTGGTAGAGGAATTAAACACCTTTTATGCCCGGTTTGAGATGAACCAACTGGAAGTGGAGTTACCATCACCACTACCATTGTGGACCGAGCATTGTGCTCCTCTTGTTGTGAAGGAGCACGATGTTAGGTGTATAATGAAAGCGGTAAACTCTAGAAAAGCTGCAGGACCTGATAACATTCCTGGTTGTGTAGTAAAAGAATGTGCGGATCAGTTAGCTGGGGGTGTGGACTGAGATTTCCAATCGTTCTTTGCTACAGTCTCTTGTCCCAACTTGTCTAAAGGCTTCTATTATTGTTCCAGTACCTAAGAAGTCACCTGCAAATGCTTTAAATGACTTCAGGCCGGTGGCCTTGACTTCTGTGATAATGAAGTGCTTCGAGCAGTTACTTCGGAAATATATTATTTCTTGCCTTCCTGCTACCTTTGACAATTATCAGTTTGCCTATAGAACAAACAGATCTACTGAGGATGCTGTCAATATTGTTCTTCATACTGCCCTATCTCACTTGGAGAAAAAAGGAACGTATGTCAGAATATTATTTGTTGATTTTAGTTCTGCTTTCAACACAATATTACCCCACAGATTGATGTCTAAGCTTAAAGATCTGAAGCCACCGGACTCCATATGTTGGTGGATTCTGAATTTTTTATCACATCGTTCACAAAGGGTTAGGATGAATGGACATATCTCTTCTGCGAAGATCCTCAATACTGGCACTCCTCAGGGCTGTGTATTGAGTCCACTTTTATTCACTATTTATACGTCTGATTGCACCTCCATTCATCTGAGTAATAAGATCATTAAGTTTGCAGATGATACAACTTTGGTGGGGCTCATTTCTGATAATGATGAGTCTGCGTACAGGGATGAGGTTCATCAATTGTCCCTCTGGTGCAAAGTAAACAATCTTATTTTTAATATAAATAAGACGAAGGAATTCATAGTGGATTACAGGAAGAGCAGTTCGGACATTCAGCCGTTGTACATCGATGGTGTTTTGGTAGAACAGGTGGCAGAATGTAAGTTTTTAGGTATCACCCTGAAACAGGATCTAACATGGGGGGCAAATACTTTAGCCCTAGAAAAAAAGGCTCATCAACGACTGTATTTTTTAAGACTTTTAAGATCACAACAACTGCCAGAGAGTCTGTTGGTTGCCTTCTATCGAAGCTCTATAGGGAGCATTTTATCTTATTGCCTCTGTGTGTGGTTCAGGAGTTGTACAGAGGCGGAGAAAAGGGCACTCCAAAGAGTGATAAAAAGGGCACAAAAGATCAGCGGATGTCCTCTTCCCTCATTGGAGGATTTGTACAACATGGGATGTAGAAGGAAGATACAAAAGATCTTGAGAGACCCTTCGCATCCAGGCCACCCGATGTTTGAGATCCTACCATCAGGAAGACGATATAGAGTGCTGAAAGCCAAGACAAGTAGATTTCAACATAGCTTTTACCCAAGTGCTGTGATCAGGTTAAATGCAGAGTTATGAATCTGGTGGTCTTAACATATATATATCCTGGTTGTACAGTTTTTAATTGTTATTTGTTTTAATTTGTTTTATATTGTTATTTGTATATGTCTTTTGGTGTTGTTTAGTTGTATGTTGCGAAAGAGCACCTTATTTCGTTGTTCTCAGGTTCCTGAGCACAATGACAATAAATTTATCTTTTATCTTTATCTTTATTCCTTTCTGTTCTCTATTCTATTCTATTCTGGTTTGTGTGGGAATTAATCAGAGCCGGTTTTGCTTTCATTCCGTGATGTATTCAATAAAGTTTTGCATTAAGAGATTGGATTGTCTCGACAACACTTGCTTGGTTGGATTCATCAGTCGGAACTTTGAACAGCGACACCACAAAAACTGCAGGCACACAAATGCAGACCCAGCTCCTGGGTCCCCATTGATGGGTGGACGATATCAGTGAATCTTTTCTCTGGCTTTTCCTAGGTGGAAATGCAGGGATCGGGGAGGCCACAGCAGTGGATCTGGCCCGGAGAGGTGCCCGTGTCATTCTGGCATGCCGCGACAAAGCGAGAGGAGAATCGGCCATGTACAACATCCGACGGGTAAAAGCCTGCTGTGTGGTTCTCTCCTTCCCTTTTTTCAATATCCAAACCATTCTAATGTGCTCCAGTCGCATCGCAGGGGTGTCAATCTCAAGGCCCACGGCTAGATCCAGCCCGCATCTCAGGGGTGGGATGTAAATATTTTTACTACGAGTTCTGTGGGCATGGCTAGGTGGGTGTGGCCATGTGACTGGGTGGGCGTGGCTTTTTTTGCAACAACCCCCCTGTGCTCTGGATTTTTTTGCCTTCTGGACCTCAGGGAAGCCTTCTGAGAGGCAGTTTTTGCTCCCAGGAGGCTTCCCTGAGGCCCAGGAGGCAAAAATGGAGCATCAAGGGGCCACGCAGCACACACACCGCGCGCCCCCCTTTTGCCTCCTGGGCCTCAGGGAAGCCTCCTGGCAAAAGCAGTGAGACAGCGAGGGGGATCCCAGCACAGTTGATCATCAGAACAGCTGGTTGTCCTCTCCTTCCTTCTTCCTCTCCTTCCTTCCTTCCTCCTCTTCTCCTTCCTTCCTTCCTTCCTCCTGGGTGGAGCAGTAAGACAACGAGGGGGATCCTGGAACAGCTGATCATCAGAACAGCTGGTTGTCCTTCCTTCCTCCTCTCCTTCCTTCCTCCTCCTCTCCTTCCTTCCATCTTTCCTTCCTCCTCGCCGGAGCAGCAAAACAGCGAGGGGGATCCCAGAACAGCTG